CTTCTGATTTAGCTTAATCTTTTTGTAATGATTTATAGCGTCTTATATAAAATCAAAAAAATCTCAATATGTAAAAAAAACTTGAATTAAAACCAAAAGCTTTTGTGTTTTAGGATTAAGAAGTAATGAAACCAAGCGGCCCCATTTGTGGAATTTTTTTATAAACTGATCAACAGCATTTTTCTTTCCTGATGTCTCCAGTAACATCCAGATTAGTGTCAAACATGTAGCCCAGGGAATTCTTTAGAAACAACCTGTTAGGAAACACTAATCAGGCTAAAAGATCGCAATCAGTGCAATCTATGCGTCGCGGTCCGATCAAAGTTTTTGGACATGTCTATTAATCTAGAGCTGGTTTCAGCTTGTTTTGGAGTCTAGGAAGCCATTAGCTTCAAATGGAGAAAATCTGGAGCAGTTATAGCTTTCCCAGTCTACCAGAATTACTCCAAGAGGTCACTAGCTGAGACTGATCAATAATTGATTCTGTTCTCAAAAAAAAAAAACATGGAAGAAAAACAGTCTCATTGGAATATGCCTTTTTTTTATACACCGAAGTTTAAACACTAAATTTTTTTAGACATTGAATTCCTTACACTAATTTTTTATCTCGTAAAAATTCACCAGAAAAAAAATCAGCTGCAAAAAATTCAGCTGCCAAAGTGCTGACCTTTTGGGGAACTCAAGCCAAAGCAATCTACACTCGATAGAGTCGAGCAGCTTCTAGCCAATGAAATGAGCTCATTTGATCATGTGACAAAATGGCTGCGCTCAGCGCTGTTCCCGGCTGAATGAGGAATTTTTTTTGTTAAACAGATAGAATTACAAAACGTCAGTTAGCTACTAACAAACAGCTCCGGAAGAAGTGGCCGATGGCAAACTTTTTTCTTCTTCATTTCGGTCACCGGCCGGTTTGCCGCCGGTGTAGGTACCAGATTGACTCGGGGGGGCCTGCGCCTTTTGATGACGTCACAATACATAATTGTTTTAACGTTTGCACAATTGCGCAAAACATTTTGATTGGTCTGGACAGCTTACTAAAGTAATTATAGCGGGGTGTAGGTTTTATTCGAAAGCGGGATTGCGGTTTGTAAACGGACAATTTTACGAAGAAATTCTCCATGGTCCCTGCGCCTTCCGATGACGTCACCGAATTCGCCATGGTCCCTGCGCCTTCCGATGACGTCACCGAATTCGCCATGGTCCCTGCGCCTTCCGATGACGTCACCGAATTCGCCATGGTCCCTGCGCCTTCCGATGACGTCACCGAATTCGCCATGGTCCCTGCGCCTTCCGATGACGTCACCGAATTCGCCATGGTCCCTGCGCCTTCCGATGACGTCACCGAATTCGCCATGGGCCTTGCGCCTCCCGATGACGTGACATTATGGCAACGCCACTCAAACAAACTACACTGAGCCCGCGGTCTGCATTTGTAACGACAATAAATTCAGGAGAATCAAGCTAAAGGGATACAAAAAATAAACTTGTAATATTACAAAACCTACAAATACTTTGTATACTACGAATACAAAGTATATTCAGAGATTAAAGTCCCTCTGATACTGTTTAAGTGACTGAGAAACTGCAGATTTGCCACATTTAAGATGGCGGACGCTCTGACGCATTTCAAAAGGCGCAGGCCCCCGAGTCAATCTGGTACCTACACCGGCCACATCTTTTTATTTTTTTTCCCCTGAAGAAAATAATTATTAAAAAAAATGCTTTTTTATCTTTGATGCCAAATTGTTTGAGGATCTGAAATGTTTAAGTTGAATAAATATAATCATCAAAAAAGAAAGAACTCTGTAAGGATCTAAATACTTTTGTCACATCTTTCCGGCATTATGAGGCCGATTTTTGCAGTTTTATCATTTAGTTCAAATTCAACCATTTTTTTCCCATTAGCTTTACAGAGTAATATTGATTAGTTAGAGGGCAGTTGTTTGTTACATTTTCTTTTTAAATAAAAATGCAGATAAAGCAATAGTCTTCAGTTTAATATTCAGTTTTATGCATTTGTTTCATTGTAATTCATATCAAAAAGCAAACATGGATTGAACTATTTTCCAAAAATATTTTTAAGCTCCAAAGCCCTGAATATTTTTCTTTTGGAGCTTTTTACCTTTTATAGAAAATTTGCGTAAAAATTGTGTTTTTTTTACTCTAAAATGATATTTCTGTCACATCGCCCACTCCTAGCCTAATGGATGCTGCAACATATAGATTATCTGGTGATGGTGAGGCTTCTGGGGGAACCAGCATCTTAGTTCTTTATGCAGTTTTAGGGTGTTTTGATTAAACCCCAGCAGACGGCTCCACATGCAGGTCCTGATTGCTGAAGTAGAGCAGAGCAGCTTCTAGAATCAGTGAAGAGGTTTTCTATGGAAGCAGAGACCGACCGTCCCTCATCTAATATTTTTAATATCATTAGAGAATGGAAGGCATTATTATTGTGGGATATTTTTCATGGTGTCAAAAGAGGGGGGTAAAAAAACGTCTTTTTCCCAAGATGCATTTGCCCAAAGATAAATGTTATTGAGCTCACAAGATGAGAATCATTTAAAAAAACAAATCAGCTAAAAAAAACAAATCGGGTACAAAGAGACCAGCCATGATGGTGCATTTAGGAACCACATAGAAACTAAGGAATTCATACTATTAAGTGAAAAAAATCATTCATCTATTATTGCTCAGAGGTTGATATTGAAATAAAAAACTAACTTCCCTGCAGTCGATGTTTAGGCTACTAGAAACCAGAAGAATCTCTACAGCATGAGGTGCTGAACTTTAAGCTCCTTGGACAAAAGAACAACAATTCTCTATCCTGACTTTCTAGAAGTTTTGACAGGTCATATTTTAACTTATAATCGTTTGCTTTCGAGGGCTTCATGGAACTCTGATTGAACAACACCTGCAACATCTGTTTGCAGATAGGAATCCTCTAAGAAGGGTAATTAAAAGCCACCTGTTAGGAGATACAGTCATAGTTACAGCTTTTGTTAAACATTTGAAAATCTGGTTGAGGATGGAGATATTAAAGATGATAAAGGAGTCTGTGTTTTAATGATTGATAATGATTGAACCTATCAATAGTTTCTATTTGGCTACAAGTCTGATCTTTCATAATTTTGCTTCCTATCAGGATATTTTTATTGCTTTTTAAATAGTTTAGTTTTCTGGACATGACAGCAATATTTTGTCAACTAATGTTTCAAATTAGAGCAATTAAAGGTTTTTATTGCAAGTTTATTTTGAATGATGTAGTTTAGATTGGTACCTAAATGCACCATTGGCCATCTATAAGAAAGCCTGGTTTTCCTTCTGGAAAAATAATAGAAAATTCTGGAATTTATTTTAGGTGTTTTTCAGGTTTGAACAAATTTGGAAAAACAGAATAAAAATGGAAACATGTTTTTCTTTCCAGGCTTTATTCCTCATCTCATTCCCTTAATGGAATCCTTCCTTCCTTCCTTCCTTCCTTCCTTCCTTCCTTCCTTCCTTCCTTCCTTCCTTCCTTCCTTCCTTCCTTCCTTCCTTTAATTTTCCATCATTGTGATTTATCTTTCTTTATAGCTTTCGTTTCCTTCCTTCCTTCCTTCCTTCCTTCCTTCCTTCCTTCCTTCCTTCCTTCCTTCCTTCCTTATTATTCTCCTTTAATTTTCCATCATTGTGATTTATCTTTCTTTATAGCTTTCGTTTCCTTCCTTCCTTCCTTCCTTCCTTCCTTCCCTCCTTTCTCCCTTCCTTCCTTC